ATAGATTTTTTGTTTTATTTTTATATTAAGTATTTGGAAAAAAATTTATCTTTATCTATTTTATACTTTAAAAAAAAAAGTAACAATAAATATCTTACTTAAATAAGAAGATAAATAATTAAAGTTAAAAAATAATCATAGGATTAAAGTAGGAAAAAAAACTATTTGTCTTCCTTAAAAAAAAAAAAAAACAACTATTATTCTGAGACAAATTCTAAATAAAAAAACATCTATGATTTTGAGATAGAGAGAATATACTAATTTTATTGTTAGAACATATCTACTAACAAATATAAGACAATTTTAAAATAAAATAAAAAAAAAAACTTACAAAACTTAAAAGTTGAAACCTAATAAATGATTCATATAAAAAGAGATAGTATTGTCCTTACCTTCTTTATAGTTGGTGATCCCTTTGGTGGTTGGTGGTCTCTTTGCCTTCAGGCTTTCAATGACAAGAGAGTCGTGCTACAATGGTGCCAGCAAAGTCTCTCTCCTTTTTCTTTTATATTTCTCTTTTTGAAGTTGTTGGGTACTTGACATTGAGGGAGATTGAGATTGAGACTGGACACTGGAGAATTATATATTGAGTTGAAAGTTAAAACCCAATATATGATTCATGTAAAAAGAGATAGTATTGTCTTTATCTTCTTTATAGTTGGTGATTTCTTTGGTGGTTGGTGGTCTCTTTGCCTTCAGGCTTTCAATGACGAGAGTCGTGCTGCAGTGGTGCCGGCAGAGTCTCTCTCCTTTTTCTTTTATTTTTCTCTTTTTGAAGTTGTTGGATACTTGACATTGAGGGAGATTGAGATTGAAATTGAGACTAAGATTAGACACTGGAGAAACAAAGTAGAACACATGAGAATCTGTTTTTCCTTCTTTTTTTCTACAGAGTTCTGTAGACAATTGTGACCTTGGGATGGGTTATTTAAATAAATTAAATTAATTAAATAATAATAAACAATTAAATTGTTAAAATGGATAATTGATTATATGGATTATATTTGGGCTCCTAAGATAACTCATTATTATCGGATTTTTTTATTTTAATAATTAAAAATACAATATTTAAAATTTTAATAGTAATAATTAATAAATTAATTATATAATTTTTTTCCAAATTCCAGGGGGCTCACCTCCCCGGTCTACAAGTGGCTTCTCCCCTGCTCTCCCTATTTAACAATTTGTGTTAATAATTCTATAC